ATTTTCAAAATCCAAAAATAATTTTCTTTTTTTTTAATATTTATTCAGATAAGATAGCAAGAGGAGAATGAATTACAGCTTCAAATGTATATTCTAATCATAAAAAAAAATTCTAACAGCTATTCAAACAAGGAGAAGTAAAGAGGGCCCAAATAAAACTCCAAATATACTTCCAACAAGTCTCGAATAAAGGGGATGACATAGAGGAACAAAGGGAAGCAAAGAAGGCAAAACATGAGCCTCAAATGTAATTTTTCAAACTAGAAAATAGTTTCCAGCTGGTATTTAAATAAGGGACAGCAAAGAGGAACAAAGGGAAGTAAAGAGAGCAAAAATCGAGCCCCCATACAACTACTCAGAGCACCAAAATATTTTCAATGTTCATACTCAAATAAAGGGGCAGCAAGAAGCAAAACCGAGCCACTAACACTGACTACTCAAGGCAAACAAAATATGACTCCTCTATGCATTCAAATAGGAGCAACAATGGGAGCACAAAACAAAGCCCCTAAATATCAGATAAATCCATGTGTATCCACTTCAAATTGAAGAACCCCGAGAGACTCAAAACAAAAGCTCTTATCATTAAATAAGTCCAAAATTTTCCTTCAAACAAAGTACGAATGAAAAGCTTAGAACAGAGCCTTCAACATCAAGTAAATCCAAAGTTCTTGTTCGAACAAATGATAAACAAGAAGCTTAGAACAGATTCTCCAAAATCTGACAAATCCAAATGCATTGATTTCAAACTGAAGACAAACAAGAAGCTCAAAATAGAAGCACCAATTAATCAAATAAATCCATAAATCTCTATGTTAAAACAATGTAGCGAGAAGATGGTAATCAAAAGAACTAAACCACTTCTTGAAGTTTCAATATACCTTCCTAGCCGAGAGAAACCGCAGCCCAAGGCTAAAACAGCTAAAAAATTTTCATATAAAGCCTTTGCAGAAACGAAAACTACTAACCAGTACTCAACATAAAGAACCCAAAAATAAGAACTCACAGCTAGGGACAATAAATGAAGAAAACCATCAACCAATGATTCCAAAAAAAGACTAAAGATCCCGCTATAACTAGATCATAACCAAGCCCAGCAAAGGCCAAGAGCATAATATAATTTCCTCGAAATTGAGCTAAGTTTTAAGCTAAACCCGTCCCAACATAGAGCTAAATCAAACCCAGTAAATGATCAACGGAATGAGCCACCACCAAGCTAAGGCTGAGCCACCCCCAAGCTAAGGCCAAGCCACCAAATAGCTACCCAAATCATTAAACATTTTTTTTTATATTTAAACTCGAATGAAGGGAGCAGCAGGAAGCAGAACCGAGCCCCCAAATGACCATCTAAGTCATTAAAACTGATCTCAAGCATGTATTCGAATAAAAATAGTAGTATGAGGAGTAAAACCGAGCCAATATCCAAAGCCAAAATCATGCCCAACACAGGGCTTAAAATTGAATCATATAAATGTCATACTAAAAAGCACAACCAAGTTAACATCTCAAATCAAAATCGAGCCCAGCACAAGGCCTAAAATTGAATCATATAAATGTCATACTAAAGAACACAACCAAGCTAACATCACAAACCGAAATCGAGCCCAGCACAGAGCCAAAAATTGAATCATTAGAAAATAGATTCCAACCCCTTAAAGAAAGGGGTAACGAGAAGTAGCAAAATTGCTATACATTTTGAACGAAAATAACTAAAGATCAGGAGGAATGAACTCTTAAATTTTATTTAAAAATTTTTTTTAAGAGAACATAGTCATTAAAAATGTTTAAATTAGAGTAGCATAAGAATACATGGCTCTAAACAATTCCATTAAGCCAGAAAACTTCTCCACAGAATATTCGAATGAGGCAATAGAAATAATGGAATTGCAGTATCAAGTCTTTAAAAGCAGATTTAAAACCATCCAGGTCTCAAACTAATACTCTCTAACCTGAATCCCTTGTTAGCTCAAGAAGGGAGAAGGCAGAGAAGAAAGAAAGAACGCTTCCAAACCGAAAAGAATCACAACACTATATTTCTTCCAAAATTTCCAAGAAAAAAAAGTTCCAAAAAAAAAAAGGTCCCCCCCCCCCTTCCCCCCCCCCCCCCCCATGGGTTATTTATAGCCGAGCAAGGGGAGGAGATGCTCACGGTAAGTGACACACACAAACGCAAGAACGAGAGTTACCGAATTCGTCGCGCGGGAAAAATCATTACAAAAAATGTCCGGCAGTTATGACCGGAGAAGAAGGTAAGTCACAACCAAAGAGGAATAAGGTGACCGGAGAAACCGGAAAAGGAGTCTTCCTACTCGGCTGAGAGGAGCAAAGGGAGTTAGGGCATGTTTCCGTCCTAAGAGAAGAAGGTGAAGCACACATGAGGGAGAGATTAGAGCTTAGGGATTAGATTCATGTATTTAAAAAAAATTTAATTTTAAAAAAAATTTATTAATTTTTTATATAAAAAAAATGTGCAATTCACTCGTGCGCGGTGCCCCAAAAAAAATAGGTGTCCTCCCTAGCTAAAATCGACGTCCGGGACACAATAGCGCAATCCGTTTTGTCATCCGGAATCATCCACACAAATTCATCATAGATCGCGTCAAATTAACTTCGATCTGCGCGTGGCACAAGAAATGAAATTATTTTGACCCGATCGGAGCTGTTTAACGAGTATATTATTGACCAGTCCTCACATAAGCGACGATCAAAGTCAAACATATCGCTCGTAGTGGCAAGTCAAACATTGCATGTGCCACGGTGTCCACCTACGTCTTTTAAATTTCTATAGGAGCTCATTTTGAGCTTCAATATGTCGGCTTTTCGATCAACTCAATCGAATGTTGAGGATCTAAAGCCATCCATATGAAACTGCAAAGAGCGAAGAAATGCTTGAATTTCTAATGGGTGTGGGTCCTAGTCTAGTCCTCAAAGAGAGTCAATATAAGGAGATCTTAAGGCTAGATCCTAAGTTATCTAGAGAAGGGAAAAGAAGACCTCCAAAATGAGGTCAACAAATGGACCCCAATAGGTGTGGTGTGCTACAAAAGCACGATGCGCCTATTGGCATTGACCAAAATGATCAAATTGATTCTTCAAGAATGTCCAAGTAACCATACTTTGGACAAATCGAATGTCAAGTTTGAAGTGAGGTGGAGTACAATTTTTGCTGGGAATGAGTAAATGAATTTTCAAACTGTTGTGGGATTTAAATTTTCGAATGATTTCAAATGTTGATCGTCAAAGTATATGCAAAAGAAATACTCAAAAATTGGCTATGATATTAAAGAATGTGTGGAGAAAGAAATAAAAAATATGACCCTGATCCCGAAGAATGTAGAGAAGATAAGTGAAACAAAAAGACTATATCAATTCGGAACTAGTCGAACAAAAATATCGTCTGTTGTCTTAGGATTTATTACGGGGTTAAGAGTAAAACTCCATACCCAAACTAAGCGAAACAGAGGAACAAGAACAATTCAGAATACCACTGGGGAAGTTACATCCGAGTTAAGAGACGATAGAATAATATATGTCACGCTAGAAAGGAAAGCACTGGGACTCACATCCAACCTAAGTGGTGATAAAGGAAATATGTTTGCTGCATTGGGGAGGAAAGCATTGGGACTCACATCCAACCCAAGAGGTAGCGAAAAGATCATATTGAAAAGGAAAGCGCGGATACTCACATCTAGCTCAAGAGCTGATCGAAAACATTACAATACGTTGTAAAGGAAAGATGACCCCAAAATGAGAGTTGAAATTTGGGTATCAACCTCGAGAAGAGAATCAAAATTTAAGTACCGATCTCAGAGAAAGGGAATCAGAATTTAGGTACTGACCCCAATGTGAGAGTTGAAATTTGGGTATCAACCCGAGAAGAGAATCGAAATTTAGGTACCGATCTCGGAGAAAGGGGATCAGAATTTAGGTACTGACCCGAAATGAGAGTTGAAATTTGGGTATCAATCTCGAGAAGAGAATCAAAATTTAGGAATGGATCTCGGAAAAAGGGAATCAGAATTTAGGTACGGACCCCAACTTGAGAGTTGAAATTTGGGTATCAACCTCGAGAAGAGACTCAGAATTTAGGTACTGATCTCGAAGAAAGGGAATCAGAATTTAGGTACTGACCCCAAAATGAGAGTTGAAATTTGAGTATCAATCTCGAGAAGACAATTGAAATTTAGGTACCTATCTTGGAGAAAGGGAATCATAATATAGTTACTGACCCCGAAATGAGAGTTGAAATTTGGGTATCAACCTCGAGAAGAGAATTGAAATTTAGGTACCAATCTCAGAGAAAGGGAATCAGAATTTTGGTACTGACCCCGGAATATCATGAATGTAGGAAGAATGTGGAAACATGTGACATTTTACAAAATTGTGAGAGAAGAAATTAAACCCGATGGAATACAGAAATAATCAATTTGTGATGTGAGGGAATAATCAAGTAAAAAAAATAAAAAAATTTCTTTTGAATTTTCATGATGATCATTATATATATATATATATATATATATATATTGATTTTGATGATTATTCATTCATAAATTTATTTATATATATCATTCTTTGCTCGCTAGCCTTTCACAGAATTAGGGCAAATCAAATTTGTTTATTTTCGAAATTTGTTTATTTTCTTGATCAATTGCCCAAATCTGCGTTCATAATCGTGAGAAGAAGTTCCAATATATTTTCTTCAAACTGTCATATCATGAATATCATCTGATATCGAATACAATGTTGTTTGATTTCATGTAATCAAACATCTTCTGGAATCATTATTGTGTAGTTTGTATATCAAAATACTTCCTTATTCACGAATACTGAAAAAGCATGATTGAATCCAACCTTGTGTATCATCTAGCTGTATTTTTTTATCGATAGTTCTGTTGAAATGGTAGGCTATATAAATACTAGCCTCGCCTTCTAACATATCATCAAAAAAATGGAAATGATTTCTCCTAGATATATACCGAGGTGTGCTATCTTTAAAAAACTTACAACTCAAAAGGCCGCAAGTTCTCGATCTCAGGATCAGGTCTGAACTGGAATGGTACCTTATCCTCATTCATCCGTCTGAGGGTTATTGAAACTCTCGGATATGACACACCATGGATGCAGTGTTTGGCCGCATCAACGCTGTTTCCCTTCAATATCAACACAGAGCCCACAGGAAAAGGAATCTCTTCGGAACCTTGAAATTCTCCGTCACCAACGATCTGAATTTTTGTTCCAAACATGATATTGCATTTATTTATGAATGATACTGTGAAAAATGGCCTTGCAAAATCATGATGATTGATGTGTGGAGGGATACAGTCACCAACTTCGTAGATATTAACTATACAGCTGTTTGGGATACAATCTGCCGGAAGTATATGCCAGGTCACCAATCGTTTAATTATCCTCTTGATAAATGATGGTAATGGGTCAACCTCATCATGACAAATTATCCTAGGAGGATTTCCTTCTTTATCTTGGGCAAAATTGTAGTATAAATCGTACTGGATTGTGACCATTCCTTTACCTCGTTTCCATTTTCTCATAATAGGTCATTCTTCTTAACCAACCAGCACATCCCATTTCTTGCTCTAAAAGAACACTTTCTACAATGTTGTCTTGTTCACTGCTGGTGAACACATTGGTGTGCAGTTCCAACCCTTCCAGTATATTAACATACTTACCCTGAAACCTTTCAAAATGCTTGAAATTTTGTTTTCTCACCTTTTCATATTTCCCCAATTCATGCACTGGAATGATCTGCAAATTACGTGACCTGCTCACGAACCGGGGAACATAGGGTTCAAGTTCCATGTTTCCTTCTTTAATTTCTCTTTCCTTGAAAGTCACCTCTCCTCTAGTTTTCATGGGTTGAGATGGCACTTCAACCAGATGATCTGGGATTTTCTATTTTAATTTGATTGCCATTTGAGCGATAGTATCTTTATCCTCCCCTTATTCTTTTAATTGTTCCAGCATCTTGTGAATACAGCAGTTTTGAACCTCTTCTGCGTATGAGTAAGTGATGCCTTCCCTTCCGGCTGATCGTCGGTAGGAGTAGCACCAACAAGCTCGCCCTTAGAGGTCACTATCATTGACTTCATATGATTAATTGCAGCATTGCTTGATTCAGCCTCATCAATTTTTTCTCATTTCCTTTTCTTCTCAGTAACAAATTGAATCTTATTTCTGAATTTCAGCACAGGCTTCTGCTTGCAAAACTCATCTTTGTTTACCACGGTAGCTGAGCTATCATAATCTAGCTCAATTTGATCGAAGTTGAAATCAAATTAAACCACCGCTCCTTCTTCAACTTTTATCTTATCAAGGATAAAACCAATGCCATTCTTGAATGTGAAGATCAGTCTTCCTCCTGACATTCTCCTGCATTAAATAGCAACACAATCAGTATGTCAGACCGGGCTTTTAAGCAAGAATAATATGAAAATTTATTATATTTTAATTGTTTATATAAACATATATATTTATATAGATGTACATTACAAATTGTATTTCTTACGCACATATCTTAATTTATATTTATGTATATATATACATACATGTATACGTGTATTAAGTTTATATATATATATATATATATTAGATCTAATTAACATGAAAGGATAAAGGAGAAAGAAACAAAATAATAAAAAAAAACTATATATTTTTTTTGTTACAAATTTATGTCCGGACCCAGTTGTAATTAAAACACCGGTGCTTCTAAGAACAAGGCTTTATTTCTAAAGTTCGCTCTTTCAAAACATCATGATGCATAGTAGTTCTTCAATAATCGTCCATTAATAGGAAGCATAGGTCATAATCCTTGACAATTTATCAATTGGTAGGCTCCTCCAGAGTAAACCTTTTCAACCACAAACGGTCCTTCCCATGTTGGTTCAAATTTACCTCCTATCTTGCGATGTGCAAGAATAGGTCTTCTAAGGACAAGAACCAAATCACTAACTTTAAAAGTCCTAGGACGGACCAATTTGTCATGTGCTTGAATCATCTTGGCTTGATATAATTCCAAATTTTATTGTGCTACCAATCATTTTCTTTCCAAACTTTCTAATTCTTCTAGTCGTAACTTGACATTTTCTTCAGTAGTAATTTTTTTGGCAATGGCAACTCCGAGAGAAGGAAGTTGAACTTCTAAAGGTAACATAGCCTCAGACCCATACACAAGAGCGTAAGGTGTAGATTGGGTTGGAGTTCTGAACGTAGTTCTATAGGTTCATAAGGCTTCTAATAACTACTCGTGCCAATTCCTTTTGTTTCCGTCCAAGGTCTTCTTTAGAATTTGGACGAGAGTCTTATTAAAAGCCTAGACTAATCCATTAGCTCTAGCATAATAAATTATAGAATAACGCCATTAAATTCCGTGTCTTCTAATAAAATTATTGATCTTCATGCTTTTGAATGCAAACCAATTGTCTGAAATAATTCTGCGGGGTCTTCCGAAATGATAGACAATTTGGTTCTTGAAGAATTGTAAGACATGTTGTGCTTTTACTTCTCTCAACGGTATCGCCTCTGCCCACTTTGATAAGTAATCAATAGTGGCTAGAATGAACTGGTGTCCCTTGAAGATGAAGGGTCTATAGGACCCACTACATCTGTGCCCCAAAATTCAAACGGCCATGAGGCAACTATCGGGTGTAACACATTTGGGGGTTGGTGTAAGCCACTCCATGTACTTAGCATTGGTGACAACTTTTGGTGATTTTAATATAGTCGAATCATCACGGACCAGTAAGATCCTAGTCTTTTAATTTTCATTTTCATCTTCAGACCTGGCTGATGAGCACCACAAAGCCCTGAGTGTACCTCTGGAATGATTTCTTGAGCTTCTGTAGCATTCAAGCATCTTAACCACATTTGGTCGAAACATCTTCGGTAAAGAACATTATCTATTACAGCATATGATAGTGCTCTCTTTTTTATTTGATATGCTACTGACTTATCATCTGGCAGCTTTCCCGTTTGTAAATATTCTGTGAAAGGTTGACGCCGGTCTTTTGCAGTTTCAGTAGTTGTAATTACTGTTTCCTCTTTACCCAATTTGTCCAAAGTATCTACATTGATCTGGGACAAAACCTGAAGTCCTTGAACAGTGATCTTAATTGAATCTTCTTGTGGACATGCAAATTCCTTGGCGAGTTTAGCTAAAGTATCAGCGAGAGTATTTTCTCCCCTTGGGATTCTGCATATTGTCACGTCTGGAATCTGTTCTAATAACTTCATTGTATAACGATGATATTGTTATAATTTAGGCTTCAAAATTATGTATTGCCCATCATCCTGTTGGATGATTAACTATGAATCTCCGTAAATATTAATGTCAGTTATACCCATTGATATTCCTAATTGTAACCCTGTTATCAATGCTTCATACTCTGGCTCGTTATTCGTGCACGGTTCTGTCAAATGATAAGAGTACCTTAACATCCCCTTTTCCGGTGTAATGAAGATCAATCCAAAGATCAATCCAATCCCAAGATCAATCCAATCCCTGCTTTACTAGGTATTATTGCTTGCAATTTTTTATCTTTTTGCAATGAAGAAGCCCCATCAAAATATAGTTCCCAACGTCGAGTCATGGAATTTGGAATTTTCCCCCATCCATTATCTGTTCACCTGACAAATCATCATTAAGAGGGGAACTAGCCGGTCATGGGTGTGCTGCGAGGAAATCTGCTAGGATCTTTCCTTCACAGCTCAGAGTGGAACAAAAGTTATATCAAATTGTAATAATATCATGGCCCATCTTTCTAACCTACTAGAAAGCGTTGGTCGGGTCATTAAATATTGCAATGGATTAAACTTCGAGATATGGTTGACTTTGTGAGATAGCATGTAATGACGGAGTTTCTGAACTGCGAAGATTAAAGCCAAACAGTGTTTCTCGATCGGAGGATATTTCACTTCCGCTGGAATTAGAAGACGACTTAAGTAATAAAGAGCACCCTCTTTTCCTTCATCGTTGACTTGGGCTAAAAGAGCTCCAAGGGAGTCATCCAAAGCCGCGGTATAAAGTATTAAAGGTCTGCTCGAAATGGGCACTGCTAAGACAAGAGGTGTCGTTAAATATTGTTTAATGCTCTCGAAAGCATGTTGACATTTATCATCCCAAATAAACTTTGCATCCTTTTTAGTCAACACGGAAAAAAGGTAGACACCTTCCTGACAAATTAGAAATAAAGCGTCTTAAATACGTCAGCCTCCCTTGAAAGGATCATGATTGTTTTAAATTTTTAAGGGGTGGCATTTCTAAGATGACTTTAATCTTACCCAGATAAATCTCAATCCCGCGATGACGAACAACAAACCCTAAAAACTTCCCAGAAGTCACACTGAATGCGCACTTTAGGGGATTCATCTTTAGGTTAAATTTTCGTAACCATTCAAAGACAATTCTCAAATTGTACAAATGATCTTCTTTTTATTTACTTTTGATGACCAAATCATCCACATAACATTCCACCTGATTATGAATGAGGTCATCAAAGACCTTTGTAATGGCTCGTTGATATGTTGCACCAGCATTCTTCAATCCGAAAGGCATTACAATATAACAATAAACTCCAATCGGCGTTCAAAAAGCTGTAAATCTTTTATCTTTTGGAGGAGCTATTTTTATTTGATTATACCCAGACGATCCATCCATGAAAGAGAAAATTCATGAGACGATGCAATATCCACTATTAATTCTAGAATTGGAAGAGGAAACTCATCTTTTGGGCATGCTTTATTCAAATCTCTAAACTCCACACAAATACGAATTTGCCCATTTTTCTTCTTAACTGGCATTATACTAGCCAACGATGTAAGATATTGTTCCTCCTGTAGGAATTTAGCGTCTATTAACTTCTTGACTTCGTTTATAAGTTGTTGTTCAATATCGAGACGCATTCGTATGGAAGCTTGCTTAACTGGAGTAGTTGTAGGATCTAGGCCCAGTTTATGTATTGCAACTTTTGGCACTAATCCGGGCATTAACTTCTGGCGCCAATCCAGGCATTTCCTCATAACTCCAAGCAAAAAAATCTTTGAACTCTGTCAACAGCTTAATCATATTCATAGATTCTTCTTCGCCAAGTAGAGAGCTAAAAAAAATTGGCCTCGGTTCCTTTTTGGTACCCAGGTTAATTTCTTGTAACTCATCTACGGTTGATTTAATCTCTTCTTCAAATTCAGGTGGGGCATCGTCAATTGTAGATTCTTCATAGTTGTTCAAAACTTCCAAACAATCTTTTTCATGTCCATTAGTAACAACTAAGCAAGATTCTGTATCATCAACAAGCCCTGCTGTGCCGAATCCAAGACCTTGCTTGGAATTAAAGGCTTGATTATCATTATTCAAAAGTTTCTCAAAGTATTGTGATTGATTTTTTAACCACTGCTTAGGTACCAGACCGCATAAGGCAAATACCAATCAACAGGTAATTCCATTAATTTGGAAGAAAGCTCATCTTCTAGTTCTACATTGATTCCAGAACTAGAGGATGAAGAACCACGA